CAAAAGGAAGCTGCTGCTGGACACCTGGGAAGGGCGACAGGGAGACACGGCTGACCCGCCTGGCCACAGGGCCACGCTCGGCGCGCGCGCGTCGGAGTCGGCGGAACGTGACCTACGGCCTGGTCAGGGTTGGTGCCGATGAAAGCGAAGAGCTGCCCCAGCAGGACGCTGTAGGTGGGCTTGTCCCTGCTGTCCTCAATGGCCAGCGACTGCAGGAGGGTAAAGGAGCTACTGCGGTGGCTGGTCACGTGGCGCCGCCTGCGGGGTCGGGGTGGGGTCAAGGGCAGCACGGTTAGAGCAGCAGCACCGAATGCCGACGGCGAGCTCGTCGGTCAGCGGCCAGCTGCGTGCGGACCCACCCTGGCCCAGGAGCCACTCACCGCTGGTTCGCTCGGGTAAATTCCAAGTCTTCGTTACCAATCATTTCCAGGTCCGAAGGAGCCGACATGCTGCGGAGAAACACCGGCTGGCGGACCGCGTGGGAGATCACCTTGGTCTCCGAGGCCGATTTACAGGCTGGAAGGTGAAAGGACGAGGCAGCCTAACATTTCTGCTATCCCAGGTGGGGGGTCGGCCCAGCCAAAGCGAAACGCGGCCCAGGGCTACCCAAGCCGCCGTCCAGTGCCGCTCCTGTGGCAGCAACTGGGCCACCAGCCACCCTGGTGGCCTTCAGGCTGCTTTGCTAAAGAAAGGTTGTAAAATGCACCTTATTTCATAAGCCACCGCCTTTAATGTTAAGATACCAAACGCGTAGTGCCATTAGAGCGACGTTATAGGACAGGGTAGAATTGCCTGTGCCTTTCCAAGACTATCAATTGTTATGGGAGTTGAGAGCCTCATCTTTCTCTCAAGGAGCTGCTGGTGGTTTTGAACTACTAACCTCAAGGTTAGCAGCCTAATTGGTAACCCATTATGCCACCAGGGATTCTATGTCAAGATAAGCATTCTAAAAAATAACAATTTCTAGTGCTCAAAATAATCCAAATCCACCGCCCACTGTTGAGTCTCCTGTAGCCCCAGTTGTATTTCATGGCTCTGCTGCCGGTCACGGCGGGTGGAGGAATCTGACTGGCCTTTCCGACAAGATTCCTCCTCACCCCATGAAATCGTTTATATAGAAGAATGCCGACATGGAAGAAGACAGAAGTAGCATGTCTAGAACAACTGAGCAGGTGGAGAAGTCAGTGTGCTCCTGTCTTGGCTGTAGAAGAATGCAGTGTGCAGGTGCTGGTGTGCCATCAGCTCATTATTTCTGATGAGGAAGGGCAGGAGCCCGGGTGCAGGGGTTAAACAATGAGCTGCTAACCAAAGGGTCTGTGGTTCAATAACCCCGCCCATGCTCGGGAGAAAGAGGTGGGAATCTGCTTCCCTGGAGGTTCCAGCCGGGGAAACCCGATGGGGCAGGTCTACTCTGTCCTACAGGGTTGCTATGAGATGGAATCCAGCCAGTGGCAGTGGGCTTGGCAGGATGCTCCCCGAGAAAGGATTGAGGCCGACAAGGACACCCCACTGCAGCTGATTAGTGGACATGAATTCTCTTTTAAACAGAAGTGTTCATGCACTGGGGAAATGGAAAAGCCCAATTAAGAAATTTTGGAAAATAAAAGTGGCTGACAGAATTGGAAATTTATTTTTCTCTCTGTCTAGCAGTACACTTGGGTACTTCTCCCGAAGTCCATGCACATTCTATGAGGAGAAGAGAGCCGGGGCCCGGCTGCGGGGGCTCTCGGGCATCGTACCCGGGGTGTCCGCAGGCGTCCCGGAGCGGCTGCGCGTGAGACCGGACTGGGCAGCGATGGTGACATGCAGCAGCAGCTCGGCTCGGTTCATGAGGCTCTTCACTAATGTCTTCGTTTTCGCCAGCGGGTGTGAGGGTTTCTGACTCAGAGAATTCACCTCCTGGATGAACTTCTCCCTGTAGAGAAAGGTGCTGTGCATCCGGCTGACCCAAAACAACAAGGCATTTGGGTTTGTTGGCTTTTTGGGTTGAGTTACAAAGGATACCAGGAGAGGGGAAACTCGCCAAAAATCACCTGCTGAGCACTCGCCTCACTCCCCCCTTTCTCTGTGCAAGGAGAACAGCTTTATAAGCCGTGGCCTGCTTTGGTGCCCCCTACCCCACCCCACCCCCACCCCGCCCAGTTCCACATGCCTGTGTGCCAACTCTCCAGGGTTAAAATCTTTCCGAGTTCCGAATTACCAAAAGAGCCCCAGCTCCAACAGCGCGAGTGCATCCCTGCAGACAAACTCCCTGAGGAGACCCCATCTTCCCATTCTCTTGGGAGCATCCAGGTGAGGAAGCAACCCTCGGGAGCCAGGAGCATCACTAACCTCAGTGAGAGGACCATGTTTTCAAGATCATTGCCATCAAAGGAGACTTCCTTCATAGAACACAAAAGTTCTAGTTCTTTCATTTTGTTCTAGAGAAGGGAAAGCCAAGGAACCATGTTTTACTGTCTAC